ATGGGAACTTAAATAAGTTTATTCCAGCATTGCAAAATGTAAAAAAAAAAAATCACCAAAGATAAATTTTTTAATTAAATTCTTTATCTTTGATTGAAAATTGAACTCCCAGAGGAAGATTAACATAGCATCATGAGTAACCATGGGATGATTTCATCACTACTAATTTGAACATGAAATGCATCAGCATGTAGAACTCAGACAGCTTGGTGAATTCAGAGCCTCTGATGTCTGTATTAGAAATATCCTGTGGATATCATTTACGTATGAAAGCTTCCATTCTGCTTTTGTTGCAGCATATGGTGGTTAGCTCTGATGGAGCTTTTCAGTTTAGAGTGCCAGTGACTCACTGATATTCTTAACCGTTTTGCTCTGCTGAGCTAGCAGCTGAGAATTACTTGTTCTGCTGGTGTGTGAGAACAGGGACAGACAACCTTTAACCCTTTTGAACTTGGGAGGAAAACCAGAGATCCTCTAGAAGAGCAAAGTCTTGTCATCCTGGACACTGACCATGGGCTTTGTGTGGGTTTTTTTGCTTTAAATCATCCCAGTAATTCCTTTTTCACCCTGTCCAGTGGTGTTATGTTTATAACTCTCATGAATGAAAATAAAGCAAGCCAGAGAGTATCAGTCTTCCAGTTACTTCTACGTGTTTAGTAAAGCAAACTAATAAAACCTTTTTAAGAAAAAAAATGGAGATCAATAACAAGTGAAAAGGGTGTAAAACTGAAATATTTCCCCTTACCCTTGGAAATGTGTGTTTTGCTTATTTTTTAATTTGATTATTTTAGTTTTGAAGGCCTTCCCATTAAACTTTAGTCTCTGAAAGACTAGAGTCAGCTCCAAGAATTGCCTAAACCTTTGTTGGCAACTCAGTTATTTCTGAATGCACAGAACCCAAGTTTTCTGTTGAGGAGGTTGTGGTTACAGTGAGGTACACATTGAAAATGAAGAGGAACATCATTCAAAATTGGTATCATAACATTCAGACTAGGAATGCATAGCAGAAAAGGCACTGGTCTTGTTGAAGACACAAGGAAATGTCCTCAAACGGTCAGGATTTTTTTTCCAAACCTAAGTTGTGCTAACTCTTGGCAGCAGTAGCAGCATAGCAAAGGATTCTTGTGCACCTGAGATTTCTACAGTAACTTATTGATTGTAAAATGCAGAGTACTTTGGTGTCCCTATGAAATACCTATGAATAATTAGGTTTATTAGTTCTAATTTATGAAGTAATATGTCTATTTTAATATTAATAATCTAGTAATAGTTTAGTTAACTCTTTATAGAACTCTTCGGCTATACCTGCCACTCATTTGAGGACTTCATCACATTGATGGGCCTGTTTGTTTCATTTTCAGGAAGATACATTTCAGTTCAGTTTTGTCTCCCTGCTGAAACTTAGAATTAAGTGTCTGAGCTTGTTAGGGTCCACTGTAAGCAGCTGATTTGGAATAATAGTCAACAACTCTCTGAGGGAGAAGAGCAAAGGGAAGATCTCTGTTATATAAAGAAGCCTCTGTGTTCCTTTATGGGAACAATCTTCTCTGCCAATGTGTTTTGCACGTTGTGTTTGTTCAAGCATGTCAGCTTGTCGTGCATAAGCTTTACAGCACCTAAGGGCAGATCTACAAGTGAGCTGGAGAGGAACTTTTCACAAGGGCACATAGGGACAGGGTGAGGGGGAATGGCTCTGAGATGAAAGAGAGCAGGTTTGGGTTGGGTATGAGAGAGAAATTCTTCCCTGTGAAGTTGCTCAGTGGACTGGAGCATCTACCCCATGAGGACAGGCTGAGGGAGTTGGGGCTGTTGAGCCTGGAGAAGAGAAGGTTGTGTGGAGACCTCAGAGCAACTTTTCAAGATCTGAAGGGGTTACAAGGAGCTGCAGAGGGATCTGTGTTAGGAACTGCAGTGACAGGACAAGGGGCAATGGGTTCAAACTGAAGGAAGGAAAATCTAGGTTGGATATGAGAAAAAGGTTTTTCCCTGTGAGGGTGGTGAGACCCTGGCCCAGGTTGCCCAGGGAGGCTGTGGCTGCCCCAAGCCTGGCAGTGTTCACAGCCAGGTTGGCTGAGCCTTGAGCAACCTGCTCTGGTGGGAGGTGTCCCTGCCCAGGGCAGGGGTTGGGGCTGGATGAGCTCTAAGGTCCCTTCCAACCTAAACTGTTCTGTCATTACATGCATTGCAACAATATGGGAAATAGAGAACTTCACAACTGTTGGGTCTGCAGAATAAAACTTTCTACATTTGCAGTGATGAATATTTTTCAGGCATTTTCATATGCTTTTCAGAATTTAACTTAGCTGCCAGAATACTCCAAAGATCTAAATATAGCAAAGTGTAGTGTTTTGAAGTGATGGCTTAGAATGAATTTCCACATTTTAAAGCTGGCACCTGTTAGATGAGAATACAGTGAATTATGCCCACTCCTACTGCATTTCGCTCCCCATTTCTGGCTCCATGCATACTAATGGTGATTCAGTGCCTTTTGTGCTTGACACTCTGATTTCCACAGCTAAGAGGTAAATACAAATATAGCATGATTTCAATTGCAGAACATTGATTTCCTCCCAAAGCAGATGTTTTTTATCTGGGTAGTGGAAGGATTTCAAGGCGAGATCATGGTTCCTGTTTACATTTCAAGAGTGAGAAGAAAAGAGCACCTTGACATATCTGTGTTTTGGTGCTTTACTCTTGGCTTGCTTCTCTGACCAGTCTTTCCTTCACTAAGGTATCTTGGATGTCCAAACTGCTTTTAAAGGCTCAGTGGTATAAGCAGGTGTTAATTTTGTGGGTTTTTTCTAATTAGAATGTCTGCTGGTTAATTTTGGTTTTGATGTCTGATTACATGCCTTTTCTTTAATTTTTCCACTGGCAGCTCCAAAATACTATGAAATAAATCAGATTTCTGAACCACTGATGTCAGTGGCAGGAGGGAGTAAACCACTCGGCTGTTGCAGATCTTAATCAGGTGCTGGAATGTGCTGCCCAGGGAGGTGGTGGATTCACCATCCCTGGAGGTTTTCAAGGTGGGACTGGATGTGGCACTTAGTGCCATGGTCTAGTGACCACAGTAGGGTTGGACTTGATTATCTTGGAGGTCTTTTCCAACCCAGTTGATTCTATGATCTTAACAGAGCAACAGAAAAGTTATCAGCTCTTCTAATCACTGAACTTTGTGGTGATTTCTGCCCTCATGGCTCAGACACAGTGCCAGGTTACAGCAGAGTTTACATCTGAAACTTCTGTGTCTCTATGTCATCTTTGACAATCAGGAAACATCAGCTTTTTCAGGTTGGGTCACTCAAGTTTGGATTTTGTGTGTAAACAAGGATCTGATGAACATTTGCAACTCCCTCAGATGTTGAACGTTCTTCTCTGGAGAGCTGAGTACTTTGTTTTTCTGACTGAGCCAGGACTAGAAGCAAGAGTTTGAATCCTTATTAGCTTTCTAAATTGCCCCTGAAGGCAGGAGGATGTTTCCTCACTTTCTACTCTTCTTTCCAGTCTTTCCTCATGAAATCTATTGTCCAACTGGTGTATGAAATCTCATCCAGCATTTTTAGCAGCATCTTGCACCCACACAGTTAGTTTTCCTTACATTTAGCCCCAGACAAAAAAAACTTGTCCCACCTCCACAGGCATTTGTGTACAGTTTTAAGAGCACTTCAGACTTGAGGTTTCATCTTTTGTTCCCTCCACAGCAGTAAAAGCAGAGTTAATTGTCAGTGGCAGCTGCTCAGTTTATGAAGTGCAAACAGGTTTAGAACAACATGTGCACAAGTGCCCAAGGTTAGATACTCAGGTGAGTAAAAGGAATTTCAATTCGCTTTGTACTAGAAAGAACTTTTCTATGTCGTTTGAGTTTTCAGACGAAGCATGAAAACATCTAAGTATTGTTTCATCCAGTAATATGGTGCATGGCTTATTGGCATCAACTTGTTTTGATAGCCAACCAAGTACTTCAATCCTTATTAATACAATAGCCCAGGTGCTTTATGGAGCTTTATGTTTCTAAATTAGTTGGTGACTTCTCTTAAAGCAGCATTGATTTTTTTTTTTTTTCTCTCTTTCCCAGTTTGCTTTTCTCAGTGTGTGCTGTGCTAAATGTCACATTGAATTTGTGACTCTGTGAAGATATCTATATCCCAGAATCTAAAATGCCTAAGAGGTGTTTTTTCTCCCTGTGCTCATCTAAATCAAATGACTGACCCTTTGCTAGTGAACTGGATTCCTTGGGAGCTTTAGCCTTTTTTTTCCCCTCTTTTGTTCTTAGAAAATTTGATCATTAAACAATTAGACTTGAGGCAGCACAGCAAGTGACACGTGGATGGTAACGAGGTCAGAAGCTCCCACATACAACCTGTTGAGTCCTCACAGAGGAGCTGTGTCATGCTAAATTATCTGTATGTGTTGGTGATCTGTATTCTGGCAAGGATGGATGAGTGGCTGAGCATGAAGGAGATCTCCAGCAGGAGAAATGCTGGACATTCATTCTGGTGATCCCGCTCTGTCAGAGCTGTGCCTGCTGCCCCTGCTAGACCCAGTTCTTGTTGAGGTCAGCAGCTCTGATTGCTGCTTGCTGGGCTGCAGGATCCGTGCTGAGAAGGGTTTCCCATGTCAGTTGGGTTCTGACACCTGGTCTAGCCAGAAGTTAATGGCTTTGGGTCCCTTCTATGTGTGGGCTCAGTCCTGCTCTGAGCCTGAGCGACTGGGGATGGACCCCAGGGATGGAGGAGAGCCCACGGTGCTGTGGCCATCACAGGAATTGTACGTGGGTGGTTGTAGTTGTGTGTGACATCAACATTTCCACGCTCCCCTGTTGAATCACAGCTCCTAAAATCTGTGTGTGTTTTCTGAGCGCAGAGTTTCAGAGTGGAGAACCAGATCTTTACCTTGAGGCCACGTCGAGGCCAGAGTGTGAGTCCTGGGCCGTGGCACTGGGCCAGGCCAACTCGGAGGGTCTGCGGGACAGAGCTGAGCAGCTCTGCAGGCTGATCATGGAAATCAAGGAGCAGAGACCCTCGGACGAGGCACGGCACTTCCTCCCCTCGGCCCAAGCAGACAGCCTGGGAGAGCCACAGTTCACCAGTGAGTACTCGAGGGGCACAGTGAAGGTGTCTGTCCCTGAGCAGCACAGCTGTGTCACACACAGGGCACATAACACTGCTGAGCTTCTTGCCAAAGTGAAGCTGCAGAGGAAGTAAACTGATGAAAATTGTCTTTAAATGTTTTTGCCTGCTGTGTTTTGGTTTATGCAGATAACCCTCAGGGGAGCAAACCTGATTACTGCTCTGACTTTTTCTCTCTAACCTCTTTTCTTCATAAGACTGAAAAATATTCTTTGCCTCCTTTATGTCTTATATGGACATATGGACTGCTGCTTAAAATACAGTCTGATAACTTTGATAAATGCATAAAGCTTTAATGATGCTTGAATTAGTATCACAGATTTGTTTTTTGTGGTATAAAACCACTCCAGGAACTTTGAGGCTTGTAGCCATATGCTCAGTTGTATTTGGTGCCCTGGAGTCTGGAGACTGTACTTCAGTTTCCCAGTCAGTCAGCTCTGTGTGCAGCATGTTCAGCAAGGTGTTTTGGGCCAATGTGCAAGTGGTAGAATTCAACTCGGAAATTTGTCATAAACTCCGTTAAAAAAAGTTCTTATTTGTTATTTATTGCTGACCTTTCTAAGCTCTGCAGCTGTAATTTTCCTTGCACAGAGGTGAGTGGTTGGCTGCAGTGATGAGAATAGTGTGAAGCTAGACTTAGTGAGCAGCATCAAGTTTTCATGGAGCAAACACAGCTCTAAGTATGGGGCTTTGGTTGTGGTTTCTTAACAGCAAAGATCTTTTCCCAGTTTGAATACCAACCCAATCCTTCCCATCTGACCAATTCCTTCAATACTGACAAATGCTTAGTAATGCTCACAGGACAGAATACATCAATGTCAACTAGAGACAGTTTAATTTCTATGAGGTTCCTTGAAACAGTAGGTTATGTTCCAATTACTTTCTGCAGCAGGTGAACAGCTCAGTGCTGTTTCCTCCCTCCCTCCCTGGTTCACTCCTTTATTCTAGCACAAGAAGAAAATACTGTCCTTTGCAGTAAAATATACACTAGAACATAATTCAACAATGGATTAAAATGTTCTTAATTGCTCTCTGTATTAATGTGCTTTATTTTCCAACCAAAGAAGTTGATTTTGTTGCTTTACCATCTTTATATGTCGATAATGTGGTTATGTTTTACAGTATTAACCCAATTTACAGACTTTACAGAACATGAGGTTTGTTTCTTAATGTGATGACAAACCTACTTAAAATGAGCTGTTACGTTTAATATCTTTCCAGCAGATATATGATGGTTAGTTGTGATTGAAAATCTTACAAGTTCCCATCCAGGAAAGGTTGGGGTTGTTTTTCTTAGTTTCCTTTCTCAGCACCAGAAAGTTCTACAAAAAAAAAAATAAAGCAAACCGTTCTTTCACAGTACTCTGTTTTGGCAAGTGTTTAATGCAAAGTTCTCTTGCACTCTGAGTTGGTAACACAGAATGTTATGTGGCAATGGCAGGTGGGGAGAGCCATGTGAAACTTTGTGTATGTGAAGCTAGACATGGAAATCAAATGATTTCTAATTTCTTTTCTTCTTTTTCTTAACATTTAAAGGTATTCAGAGAATTGCCAACGAGCCAAAGCTGGAGTTCAGTCTCGGTAAGAGCGAACTTTGATTTTTGGAGTTGTGATGGTCTGTGTGTAAGAGTTTGCGTGTGGTGCTGCACAGTGTGACATGTTACCAGAACCCTGGTGGGTTCCCAGCTTTGGGTGCAAGAGCTGCCTGTGATGCCTCCTGAAATGCTGATTTTAGTTTTTTAAGTGGTTGGAATGGCTAAAGGTCTCTCAAGTTCGCTAATGCTGTGCTGCTCTACCCAGAGGAAGATCTGACTACAGGTGAGAGGCTGTAGCCGATGTTGTATAGCTGTACCCTGAGAAACTTTTACTTAGTGTTGGCATGGAGAAAAGGCCTAGTTCCCTGCTGGGGGAGTCACCATGCTGTAGTAAGCTATAAGAGCCATTTTAGCTTTTCTGGGCCTTTCTATTTGCATTTTATAGGTGATGTGACTGTAGTATTTGGACATAGTCAGTAATTGCAGTGCTCGGGGGGGGGGGGGGAATAAGAAACTCCCAGAATTCCTCTAGTGTGGAGTAAGAGAGGGAGGAAGGTGCTACAGATGTTGACTACAGATTAGATGAGCAGTGCTTTAGGGGAAGTTGCTTTCAGTGATAAATATGCCCCAGCAGGCAGAGGTGTATAAATAAAGGAAAGTAATTTTGAGGCTTGTTTGGGCTCATGCTGGACTGGTCTCTGTTCACTCATGGTGTCAGTGTTTGTGCTTTGCACTGGGTTGTTTCTAGCTGGCATTTCTGTTCTGTGGTTTGTTCTGCAGCATTTCTGATAGAGTCATTGCAGCTCTGTGAGTGATCTTGTGCATCGACCTCTGCTGCCGCCCAGGTAACAGGTCAGAGTAACAGAGTAAAGCTCTTGTTTCTGACTGCTGCTCCTGCCCAGTGTCCTAAGTCAATGATACTGGGCAATGTAGGCAGCTGTATAAAGCTGATTCTTAGTGTTTTGATCCTAAAAACAATATTTAAACATAAATTGTTTAAAGAGCTGAACCAGAGGAATCCTTCAGTGATTGAGCAGTCCATGAAATCATAGAATCACAGAATTTTAGGGGTTGGAATGGACCTCAGAGATCACCCAGCCCCAACCCCTGCCCTGGGCAGGGACACCTCCCACCAGAGCAGGTTGCTCAAGGCTCAGCCAACCTGGCTGTGAACACTGCCAGGGTTGGGGCAGCCACAGCCTCCCTGGGCAACCTGGGCCAGGCTCTCACCACCCTTATGGTAAAAAAAACTTTTTCTCACATCCAGCCTAAACTTTGCCTTCTTCAGTTTGTCCCCATTGCCCCTTGTCCTGTCACTGCAGTTCCTAGCAAAGAGTCCCTCTCGTTATCATACCAGTTATCCTTATGGAATCTCAGTATTCCCATGCTAACGCTTCCAGGTCCAGCCCCCCCAGTCACCACCACTCACTCTGGAGCCTGGTCTGTGCCTCTGGGGAGCAGCAGTGCTGCTGGCAGGCCAAGGGCACAGCTTCACTGATCTTGCCCTGGGAAAGCTTGGGCTGTGTCTAATTGAAGACTTGGCATTAGCTTTAGGTAATCAGGAGCTTCCAGGATCTCTATGTGAGGTGCCCCAAGGTGTGGTGAGCAGAGATGAGAGAGGGATCAGTGCTGTGATGTGTGCCTGACTTGGGCACCTGAGGGCTCTGGAGGGACATTGCAGCTTGATTAGGCTGGTCCTTGGCACTTAGAATTTGCAAGGCAAATCTAACAGGTAATGACCTGTAAAACTGGTCTCTAGCCCTGAAAGAATGGATTATAGCCCTAATTACGTTCATATGTATTATATAACCAATATTATATTAAGTAGCATATATTTCTGTAAGTAGACACTTGTTATATCAGTTAATATACCCATTTTTAACCAGAGATTAAAACTTGTAATTTTATTTTGTGTGTTTCAGTCATTCATTGGTGAATAAATGACATTCAGGAATGGAACTTCGGTAACTCAAACAGAATACAGGTTTTTAGTAAGATTTGGGTCCTGCCTAACAGGAGTTTTATTTAGGGGCAATATATGTCAGTACTGCTCTTCTGTGTTTGAAGTTCTGATAACTGCAGTTTGAAATAATGTTATTAAATGTCTTCTTGGGTTGTGAATTCAGTTGTGCTAAATCTTTTGCTGCATCCTATATCCATAACACTCTGGAAAGTTTCTCTTCATAAAATGTCCAAAATATTGACTTCTTTAATTTTATTTTCAAGCTCAGTAAAGTGGTGGGGTTTGGGTTTTTTGTTTCCCCTGAGGTTAAAGCAGAGAATGAAACTCTTCTGATTCACAGCTTTTCACTGCAATGCACTCAGCATTTTCAGTGTGGTGACATAACCTTGGAGTTGGAGCATCCTTTAGACTAAGAGTTTGGATTTTTATGTTCCTGGGGACTCTTTGGCTGATTTCTGAACCTTGGAACTGTTGCTAAGTTGTCCTTTGCAAACTTTCTCGTGTTCTTGCTGTTTCACGAGGCAGCAGGAGGCAGCACCATGCACTGATTGAGATGTGTGAGTAGAGAGGAGGAAGAGAGCAAAAGGCACCAAAACAGCTACTGGGCCTAGATAACAAACCCATCTGACAACACAGTGGAGCTGATAAAAATCTTTCCCATGACTTTGAAGTCTGCAGGGTTAGTTCTTCTATAGATGTTTATATTGGAGCTGCTGTTCTTGGTTGCTTCTATAAAATATTGCAGCCCTTGAGTCCCAGATCTAGCTGAATATGGGCTGAGTTCCTGACTTCATGTCCATGTCTCACACTTCGTGGTGTGTGAGGCCAGCGAAAATACTGGTGATAGTTATGGGAAATAAATTACATGGTGCACATTGGTGCCCACTGCTGTGCAGTTCTCCAGAGCTTGTACCTCGAAACATATTTGCTTTTACTTGATGGTGAACTGACAAAGCAGCACAGGAAAACACTGATCAGCAGAAGGAAGGAGCAGGGTGGAAGGGCACGGCTGGTAGCCAAAGTGCTCAAATATAAGCTTGGTAACTAATATGATGTTAAGGTGGAGGAATAACTCCAAAAAGAAAAGAAAAAAATAAGTGTGTTACTCCCTCAACGACCAACAGAATTAATTTTGACGCCTTTTAGTGTTTTTTCATTTGTCTGATTAGAGTTGTGAGGAGAGTGCAAGGGATGCTGTGGGTGAGGTGTAGGACTCTAAACTGGACAGAAAGGAATGTCTCTGCACATGCTGTAGCCACAGGTAATAATTTGCTCAGAGACACTGTCCAGCATTTCCAAAAGCTTTCAGCTTTTTGGCAAATATGGTATGGAAGGGAAGTTTGATAGACTGTTCTGTTGTCGAGCAGCCTCTAGGTACTTCTCAAAGCATAGAATGATGTAAACTTGTGTCCTTTTGCAAAATCTCATTCAATAGTGCGCAATTCATGGAAAACTTGAGCAAGCAGTTGAAAGAATTAAAAATTTCTAGGCTATTTGTTTTTATCATTTTACCAAAGAGTGCGTTAATACAAAAGTAATTTACCTGTAAATGCAGAATCATAGAATTAGCTGGGTGGGAAAAGACCTCCAAGATCATAGAGTCCAACCCTACCATGGTCACTAGACCATGGCACTAAGTGCCACATCCAGTGTCAGCTTGAAAACCTCCAGGGATGGTGAATCTACCACCTTCCACCTGATGAAACAGAAGATCATTTTCTTCCATTCTGCTCTAATAAATTGAAGTCTCTCCTGTTTCTGGAAGCTTTTGCTTTTAAGAAAAGATTTTATTTGAACTACCAAGAGAAAGTGTGTGACAAACTTATAAATACAAATATGTATAATCAGGGCTGTGCCTAAGGGAAACTTTTAAATCTAATAGAATAAAGAGTCTCACTGTGACTCTCATATGTTTTGATATTAAACGCTTATCTAGAGATAAATTCTGAATAGCTATGACTAATCTGTTCAGAAAGGAGTTTGTAGGTACCTGAGTTTGAAAAGCTATTTACCAGTTGAAAGGGGTTTTTGGAACTGAACCGTTTGAGAGACAGGGGTTTATCATCTTAGCTCTTGAATGATGCAGCAGATAATAGGAGTAAATTCTGTCAGGAATGTTCAAATTCTAAAATCTTGTCAGAGTTAGTAGAGTACTGCGTTTACAAAGCTGGGGAAAAAGGAGGGTTAGACTAGGAAGGACCTTTCTTTTTCAGACCAAAAAGAAATAATATTGGTAGGCTTTGAAGGAAAATCAGGTGGTTCTTCACAGGGAAAATGCTGTTTTTGTGTCTGTGTCACATTTTTGTAGAGTCATAGAATCTACTGGGTTGGAAAAGACCTTCAAGATCATGAAGTCCAACCCTACCATGGTTACTAGACCATGGCACTAAGTGCCACATCCAGTCTCAGCTTGAAACCTCCAGGGATGGTGAATCCACCACCTCCCTGGGCAGCACATTTCAATGCCTGAGCACTCTCTCCCTAAAAAATCTTTTCCTAATCTCCAACCTAACCCTCCCCTGGCAGAGCTTGAGTCTGTGCCCTCTTGTGCTGCTGCTGGTTGCCTGGGAGAAGAGACCAACCCCCACCTGACTCCAACCTCCTGTCAGGGAGTTGCAGAGGGTGAGAAGGTCTCCCCTGAGCCTCCTCTTCTCCAGGCTGAACATCCCCAGCTCCCTCAGCCTCTCATGGACTTTGTGACTGTTATCTCAGCAGCTCAGCTCCTCAGTTATTCTGGGTGCCAGCAACAGATCCATTACAGCAGCTCAGCCTGAGCAGACTCCCTTGCCCAGGGAGGCTGTGGCTGCCCCAACCCTGGCAGTGTTCACAGCCAGGTTGGCTGAGCCTTGAGCAACCTGCTCTGGTGGGAGGTGTCCCTGCCCAGGGCAGGGCTTGGGGCTGGGTGATCTGGAAGGTCCATTCCAACCCTTAAATTCTATGATTCTATGACTGGTTTGCCAGGAACTCTACTCACATTCTGTACCATATGTGGACACTAAGGTATGTATTGATACCTTAGTATCAATAGATACTCACTAACTCTAGATATTTAGTATCAATAGATATCACCTTAGTTGTAAGGT